AAGGGACCTGGAAGGTCTTCGAATCCAACCCCCCTGTTCAAGGCAGGAGACCTTATATGGGTAGTCTTCAGCTTACTACCACAATTGAGCCCCAAAATTCTGTTGCTAGACAGTTGTTAAGTGAGTTATTTTTATGACCTTTCTTGCCACAAATGTTAAATGAATCACTGTGTTAAGTTAGTTACACAGTTGTTAAGTTGTCAAGTATCCAAATGTTGATCACCCAACCATGGGAATGATGTAACAATCATAAGTGTGAAAAATGGTCATAAGTCACTTTTTTCAGTGCCGTTATAACTTTGAATGATCATTAAATGAATGGCAGTAAGCCGAGAACTACTTATATCATCCAAACCAAATAGTTGCCCGGTCCATTCCTGAAAACCTCCAGCAATGGAGCACCTACAACTTTGGGAGGCAAGCTGTTCCATTGATTAACTGGTCTCACTGTCAGGCAACTTTTCCTTGGTTCTAGGTTGGCTCTTTCTTTAACAAGCTTCCACCCATTACAGTACTTCTTGGCCTGCCCACAGATACTTTGGAAAAAAAAGCCCCCTCTGTGACAGCTCCTCAAGTACTGGAAAACAGCTATCATGTTATCCCTAATTCTTCTCTTTGATAGGTTAGACATACCTAGTTCCCTGCTCAAAAATCTACCACTTGATTATCTTTTCAGGATTTTCCCAGGTATTGATGTAAAGCTGATCTGCCTATAGTTTTCTGATCTATGTTTTTCCCCTTTTTGTAGGTTGGAACCACATCAGCTCTTTTTCAGTCTTCTGATAGTTTCTCTGTGCTACAGAAGCTCTGAAAGATTTCATTCAGTCGTTCCAAGATCACATTTGCCAGCTCCTTCAGAATCCTTGGATATAAACCATTTGGTCCAGGTGATTTGTACTCATTCAGGGTGGATAATGTGCTCTTAGTAATTCCTTGCCTATTTTGACTTGCATACCTGTTCTATCTCTTTTGGTACTGCTTTAAGAGGTTGGCCTATTTCTCCCTTTTTGGGTGAGAAAATCACTTTTGAGGGCTCTGAGTATTTCTGTTCCCTTCACATCATTGTATTCTACATAAACAATGAAAAATATTAAGTTTCTTTTATTTATTTATTTATTTATTTATTTATTTATTTATTTATTTATTTATTTATTTTTCATATTTGTATACTGCCCTACTCCCGAGGGACTCAGGGCGGTGAACAGCCATAAATAAATACAAAGACATATAAAAGTTAAAAACTATTAGAACAGATTAAATCATTTAGGTTTAGGTTCAAAGATTAAAACATCTAAATTTATCTAAAAGAGATTTTAAAAACCAATTTAAAAGCCAATTTAAAGGCCAATTTAAAAGGGAGAGAATAAGGCCAGACCAGCCTGTTGGAATAAAAACGTTTTTAGGGCGCGGCGGAAGGTGCGTAGGTCTTGGATCTTCCGTATCTCCGGGGGGAGCTCGTTCCAGATGGCAGGTGCCCCCACAGAGAAGGCTCTCCCCCTTTTCTTCTTTTAAAAGAAGTTTAACTTTTATACAACTATTACAGTGCCATTATCTACAATGTTTCAAAGTTCTAAAGGAAGAATTTAGAATACAAACGAAACAGTAGTATAAATTATAACAAAGTAGCACCCTGTTATTAACACAGCTGCCTGCAATTACTGCAGGTTCGAATCTTACCAGGCTCAAGGTTGACTCAGCCTTCCATCCTTTCTAAGGTAGGTTAAATGAGGACCCAGTTTGTGGGGGCAATAAGCTGACTTTGTATAAATATACAAAAGTATGAAGGCTATTGCTTAACACATTGTAAGCCGCCCTGAGTCTCCGGAGAAGGGCGGCATATAAATCAATTTTTTTTTAAAAAAGTAGATTGTGGCTGGATATCAAAAAAATATTATAGAAGTTAGGGTTGTTCAAGAATGGAAGAGACAACCTATGGAAGCAGTGACATTCTTTCATTAGAAGAAGCTACAGAAAGGAATGTCTGCACTGAACAGGTGACCTTAGATCTCAAAGTTCACTTCCAACCCAAAGCTGGAAGCAAGAGAGGAAAAATTGGGTTGTGGTCAAGGCAACAAAATTTGCATTCAGAATCTGAGGCCCCTCCTCCAACCACTAGAGTTTTCATTTTTTTAGACTATATTTTTCTATCATAACTCTCTGAAAGGAACAAAATATTTATTTATTTATTTATTTATTTATTCGAATTTCTATACCGCCCTTCTCCTTTCGGACTCAGGGCAGTGAACAGCCAGATAAGAAACATCTATACAAACATCACGGTTAAAAAATAAAGTTAAAATAATTTATAAATTTGGCCCATAATTTAAAACTTGTCAATTTAAAATTAAATATTAAAATTTTAAAACTAACCCTAAAATCAGGACAGACCGGCTAACTGAAAAAAATAAGTTTTTAGGGCCCGACGAAAAATCCGGAGGTCGGAAATCACTCGTATCTCTGGGGGTAGATTGTTCCATAGGGTAGGTGCCACCACAGAGAAGGCTCTCCTCCTGGGGGTCGTCAGCCGGCATTGTCTGGCCGACGGCACCCTGAGGAGGCCCTCTCTGTGGGAGCGAACCGGCCGGTGGGAGGCTATTGGTGGCAGAAGGCGGTCCCGTAAGTACCCTGGCCCTAAGCCATGGAGCGCTTTAAAGGTGATCACCAACACCTTGAAGCGCACCCGGAAGTCCACCGGAAGCCAATGCAGCTCGCGCAGGAGAGGAGTCACATGGGAGCGCCCCGTCGCTCCCATAATCCCCCGCGCAGCCGCATTCTGCACCAGTTGGAGCCTCCGGGTGCACCCCAAGGGGAGCCCCATGTAGAGAGCATTACAATAGTCCAGATGAGAAGTGACGAGTGCTTGAGTGACCATGCGTAGGGAGTCCCGGTCCAGAAAGGGGCGCAACTGGCGTATCAGGTGAACCTGACAAAAAGCCCCCCTGGCCACGGCTGTCATATGCCCCTCTAAAGACAGCCGCGCATCCAGGAGGACGCCCAAGTTGCGGGCCCTCTCTGTGGGGGCCAATGATTCGCCCCCAATAACCAGCGATGGCGTCAGCTGGCTATACCGGGACGCCGGCAGCCACAGCCACTCGGTCTTGGAAGGGTTGAGTCGAAGCCTGTTTCTCCCCATCCAGACCCGCACGGCCTCCAGGCACTGGGACATCACTTCCAAGGCATCATTGGGATGGTCTGGGGTGGAAATGTACAGCTGAGTATCATCAGCGTACTGATGGAACTCCACCCCAAAACCACGGATGATCTCACCCAGCGGCTTCACATAAATGTTGAACAGGAGGGGTGAGAGGACCCTTGCGGCACCCCACAAACAAGGCGCCTTGGGGTCGACCGCTGCCCCCCTGTCAACACAGATTGCGACCGGTCGGAGAGATAGGAGGAGAACCACCGCAGAACGGTGCCCCCCACTCCCAGTCCCTCCAGCCGGCACAACATGATACCATGGTCGATGGTATCAAAAGCCGCTGAGAGGTCTAATAGGACCATGATAGAGGAATAACCCCTATCCCGGGCCCTCCAGAGATCATCCACCAACGCAACCAATGCCGTTTCCGTGCTGTACCCAGGTCTGAAGCCGGACTGGAGCGGATCCAGATAGACAGCTTCATCCAGGTACCGGGGAAGCTGTCGTGCCACCACACTCTCAACAACCTTCGCAATAAAGCGAAGATTGGAGACTGGACGATAGTTAGCCAAAACAGCCGGATCCAGGGATGGCTTCTTGAGGAGAGGCCTCACCACCGTCTCTTTCAAGGCGGCCGGCAGGACACCCTCGCTCAAAGAAGCGTTAATAATCCCCTGGAGCCAGCCTCGTGTAACCTCCCGGAAAGCCAGCACCAACCAGGAGGGACACGGGTCCAATAAACATGTGGTTGCGTTCAGCCATCCCAAGATCCTGTCCACGTCCTCGGGAGCCACAGGATCGAACTCCTCCCAGATAACACTCTCAAGACCTGCCTCAGTCATCTCGTCTGAACTAACCCAGTCGGCGGCCAAGTCTTCCCGAATCTGAGTTATTTTATCATCCAGATACTGTACAAAATCCTCAGCTCGGCCCTGCAAGGGGTCCTCCCGCGCTCCCAGATGGAGGAGGGAGCGGGTCACCCTAAACAGGGCGGCTGGGCGGTTATCTGATGACGCGATAAGAGCGGCAAAATAGCTAGATTTCGCCGCTTTTATCGCCACTAGGTAGGTCTTAATATGAGACCTTACCAGTGTCAAGTCAGACTCGGAATGACTGGCCCTCCAACCGCTCTCTAGGCGTCTTTTCCGGTGCTTCATCTCCCTCAGCTCCTCAGAAAACCAAGGAGCTAAGTGAGTTCGGTGCCGGGTCAGAGGCCGCAAAGGCACGACCCGGTCCAAAGCCCCGGCAGCCGCCCTATCCCAGGCGGCCACCAGGTCATCAGCCGAGTCATGAGCTAGAGTCTCAGGAAATGGCCCAAGCTCCATCTGGAACCTATCAGGGTCCATCAGGCGCCTGGGGCGGAACCACCTGGTCGGTTCCGCCTCCCTGCGACGGGGTGCGGCGGTCAGAAAGTCAAGTCGAAGGAGCGAGTGGTCAGACCATGACAAGGGTTCAATATCTACATATCTGAAATATCTGAACAAATATCTGAAATTTTGCATGTGAATGTTACTAATACAGTTTGAACTGGCAAATAACAAAATGTAGTTTTCTATTTTATTTCTTACTGTTCATTAGTGAAATATGTTAAACAATTTTAGCTTCATTTTTGTATCTATACGTAGAAAACATATTGGAATATTTTTGGAATATATATATGCATGCTATTTTGGGGCCATGCAAAAATGAGTTTACATAAGAACCAGACTTCACACTTTAATCTTCGTACATATTCCAGCATGTTCCAATTGATAAAGATCTAGAAAAGTCTACTACTTCCCAAGATATTTTCATGCACTTTTATAGCACAAAAGTAACATCCATTTATAGAGTACCTTATCTGTGTAAACCAACTTACCCACTAGTTCCTGGTCTCTGAGCCTGAGAAAAACGCCAGTCTGTGTTAGGTTGTGCTTGCTGAAAAACAAACAAACATAAAGAGGAACAAATTTCTATTTTTCAATTTAAGCACAGCATCCTCATTATTACTACAGAATATTAAACATAAACTGTAACATATGGTTAGTTTATGCTTTGAAAGTTTGAATTATAAACAATATGCACAAGTATACAATGACATTTTCAAGCTACTTCCAAACAGGAATGCATGATTAAATAATCTGCTTAAAAATGTTTGCTTGTTTATTCAACAGCACTTCAGTATCAGCACAATCGGAAATATTCTGTAATCTACTAGAAAAATCATTCACAAAAATTGTACTGCATAAAAATACATAGATGAAATAAAACATGAAACAAACCTGAAAAAGCATAATTGAATATCACCAATAATGATTAGGGGAGGATTGATCCTGAAAGAGAATTGTTTCACTACATTTTTTCCAATAGAATGTGGATGGGTACAGAAAAAAAGAGTGGCGGGGAAGGGGGGGAGATTCAATAGAAACTTAGTATGTAGAGGTAGTCCTCACTTACCAACTACAATTGGAACCCTCAGCTCCATCACTAAATGATATGGTTGCAAACTGAAACATCATATGACTGCACTTAACTAATGATGTTAGTTCATCAATTCCAGCTGCAGTCATTAAGCAAATTACTTCAGGTTAAGCATGATGTCATGTGATCACGACTTGTGACTTCCTGCCAGCTTCCCATTGACTTTGCTTGTCTGATGGAAAGGTCACAATCAATGTTGCAAATAACAATCACCAGACCCTGGGATATGGCAACCATCATGTTAGTTGCCAGGCCCCCGTATTGTGATCACATGACCATAGGGATTCTGTGACAGCCACAACTTCAAGGACTGGTCATAAGTCTTCTTTTTCAGCACCATTTTAACATCAAATGGTTGCTGAAGGAGTAGTTGCTAAGTAGGGACTACTTGTAATAATGCTTAACATACCCACCACATTATTAAAAGATATCCAATATATTAATCACAGAGTGAAACTTCTGAAAGTTTTGCCAAGATAACTTCAGGGATTTGCTTCAGCAGTCCTCAGGAGTCAACACAAAGACACAAAACAAAACTTAAATGGTTTTCTGAAAGCAGCAGAAGCATCTTTTTTCTGTCTCACTGAAAAAAGTCAGGCTTTTTTTCATGAAAGCCAGACACCAGTGCTTCTACAAGTTCTAAAACACCATTTTAAACCAATTCTAAGTGGGCACAGCCCTAATGGATATAGTTTTATTTGTCAGTTTTTGAAGAATTCCCCCTGATGCCATAACAATTAAGATCGTGTATATATTACTTCATATATGTAAAACTTTTAAAGTTTTTTTTAAAAAAGAAATGCCTATATAGCACTATACAGTCAATACATAAAATAATGAAACAACTTAAAGGCTACCTGGATTCTGTTCAGGAAAATAAAGTTAATAGAATTTGCAATTCTTTCTTTAAAGCAATAGCATGTAATTTGTAGACCTAAACCAAACTTTGTAGATTCCAGTTCTATAGCATTGAAATTTGGCAGCAAATAATATCCCCTCCCAGCCACTCTTCGCCTGCCCGCCCGGGCTCCTTAGGGCCCCAACAGGAAGCAGTTGTTGGAGCTAAGCAGCCACCGTGAGAAAGAGTTGGCAAAACAGCTCTGTTCAAATTGGATCTGATCAAGAAGGAGGCTCAGCAGAAGCACCTCACTGAGGACTAGGAGCATAGGCTTTCCAAGCAGAGGGAAGACCTGCGGGAGTGCAAGGCCAGGTACCGGTGCCTGGAGGCTCAGTGGGCTGAGGTGGTCAGCCAGTTCCAGACCATGATTCAGTCCACTGGAACAAGGCCCTCAGACTCTTCACCACCAGCGGCACTTCCGCCCAGCCTTCGCCCAAAGCCCCACAACAGGAGGCTGAAACAGACCCTGAGTCGGAATTTCTGCCTCCCTCCGACCCACACAAAAAGACCCAAAGGGTGTTTTCAGCAACACAAATGTTCATTGCACGTATCCAGCCCAGGGGCTGTAGGACCCCTGATTTAGTGCAAAATAAAAAAAGCAAATAATTTTTCTGTGGACCACCAAAATTTTCTCGCGGACCACCAGTGGTCCATGGACCACCTGTTGGTGACCACTGGACTAAATGACCTACAAGGTCCCTTCCAACTCTGTTAATCTGTTAAATCTGTTAAATAGTTGTATGATTTTCTCAAATCATTTTTGTTTCCCAAAACACTTTTGCACAAATCAGTGTTCTAGACTCCTAGCCAGATATACCCTAGATCAGTGATGGTTAACCTTTTTGGCACTAAGTGACGAAACTGGTGCGTGCATGCACCGGAACACCATAACCCAGAAGAGAGCAGCTGGCCAGTGTGCATGCTCTTGCTGGTCAGCTGCTCTTCCGGTTCTGTCACGCACATGTGCACCAGATTGCTGCTCTTTTCTGGGTTCCGGCATGCATCTGCAAAGACCAGCTGGCTGGTTTGCATGTGTGTGCCAGAACCCAGAAGAGAGCAACTGGCCAGTGCGCATGCGCACCGGACCAACTGGCCGGTGCACATGCACGTGACAGAACCGGAAGAGCTGGCTGGTGATGGCGCATGTGCCCACAGAGAGGGCTCTGCATGCCACCTCTGGCATGCCACCTCTGGCATACGTGCCATAGATTCACCATCACGGCCCTATATTATAGCTTATAGCATCACTGTATTGTTATAGTACAAAAACCAAAGCATAGATCATGATTATAAAAAGAATTGAAAAAATTTAAATGTTCTCACAATTTGCATTGATTTCACCTGTAAGAGTAGATTAATTTTTGGAAAATGATTATTGAAATTTACGTCAGTAATGGGATTGCGAAACAGAGGCAAAATGGGAGTTTTTGTGGACAATTTCATTGTATTGCCTTTCTAGAAGATTACTAAATAAAATATTTTTCTTGATGAGAAATAATGAATGAAAACGAACCAAGGAGAGAAGCAATCTAGAACTAAGGAGTACTTTCTTAATGGTGAAAGCAATCAACCAATGGAACAGCTTGCCTTCAGAAGTTGTGAGTGTTTTATCTGAAATGGTATAGGGTCTCTTGCTCAAGCAAAGAGTTGGACTAGAAGACCTCCAAGGCAGTGGTGAAATCTAAAATTTGTTACTACCGGTTCTGTGGGCATGGCTTAGTGGGGGAGGGGTAATGTGACTGGGTGGGCATGGCCATTTTTTTTTTACTTTTAAAACCATTTTTTCTACAACCTCTTCAGCGAAGATATTGTAAAAAATTGCTTTCAAAAGGCTCTGATGATCCCAGCTGAGTTGCCTGATCGGCAGAGGCTTTTTTTAAAAGCCTCTGCAATCAGGCAACTCAATTGGGATCGTCATTGGCTTTTAAAAGAAAAAAAGCCTCTGCCGATCAGGAAACTCAGCTTGGATTGTCAGAGGCATTTAAAAGAAAAAAAGCCTCTGCCGATTAGGCAACTCATCTTGGATTGCCAGAGGCTTTTAAAAGAAAAAAAGCCTCTGTCGATTAGGCAACTCAGCTTGGATCGTCAGAGGCTCTTAAAAATATTTTTTCTACAACCTCTGAACAGGTTGTAGAAAAATGCTTTTAAAAGCCTCTGACGATCCCAGCTGAGCCGCACGGTCATCAGACGCTTTTTAAAGCATTTAAAAACATTTTTTTGGCCAAAGAGGTTGTAGGAAAAAATGCTTTTAAATACTTTTTTAAAAAAGCCTCTGATGATTGCGTGGCTCAGCTGGGCATGGAGGGGGGGCAGGAATTTTTGCTACCAGTTCTCCGGTCCAAACCGGGAGCATTTCACCCCTGCTCCAAGGTCCCTTAGTGAAAAGAGGACCAAGGGAGACATGATAGCAGTGTTCCAATATTTGAGGAGCTGCCACAGAGAGGAAGGGGTAAAGCTATTTTCCAAGGCACCCGAAGGCCAGAGAAGGAATAATGGATGGAAACTGATCTACATGGGACTACCCTTGAAAAGTGTTTGGAGACTGCAGCTGGTCCAGAACACAGCCGCGTGAGCTGTTGTGGGTGTACCTAGATATACCCACATTACACCAATTCTCCGCGAGCTGCACTAGCTCCCTATTGGTCTCCGGGCACAATTCAAGGTGTTGGTTATTACCTTTAAAGCCCTACATGGCTCAGGGCCAGGTTATCTTCGAGACCGCCTTCTACCACATAGCTCCCAGCGACCGGTAAGATCCCACAGAGTTGGTCTCCTCCGGGTCCCGTCAGCTAAACAATGCCGGCTGGTGGGCCCATGGGGGAGGGCCTTCTCTGTGGCTGCCCCAGCTCTGTGGAACCAGTTACCTCCTGAGGTCTGGACCATCCCCACCCTACTGAAGACCTGGCTTTTCCGGCAGGCCTGGGGCCGTTGATCTCGCTTTGCGATCTGGCGTGATCCGGCCATGAATGGTGTGAATGCGTTCTAAGGTTTTTAATGTTTTTTAATCTTTTAAATGTTTTTAGAATGGTTTTTTAAAAAAATGTATTGTGAGCCGCCCTGAGTCTCTGGAGAGGGGCGGCATATAAATTTAATAATAAATAAATAAATAAATAAATAAATAAATAAATAAATAAATAAATAAATAAATAAATAAATAAATAAATAAATAAAGATTCAACCTAGAAATAAGGAGAAATTTTCTGATAGTGAGAACAATCAACCAGTGGAACAGGTTGCCTTCTAAAATTGTGGGAGCTTCATCACTGGAGGCTTTCAAGAAGAGATTGGACTGCCATTTGTCAGAAATGGTATAGGGCAGTGATGGTTAACCTTGTTGGTGCTGAGTGCCCAACGCGCAAGCATGCATGCACGAATGCATGTGCATGTGCCCCAATCCCCAAAATGCAATGTAAGTGCCCCCCATGAATGCACCCCGTGCATGCACCACCCCCTGTTTTGGCTTCCAGGTTGGTGCAGGTGGCTTTCCAGGCTCAAAACAGGGCATGTGGGAGCCTTGCGTGGTGCCCCTGTGCCCCATTTTGGCTTCCAGGTTGGTGAG